AAATTCGTCGAGCGTATTCATTTTGATTGGTCCCAGTTGAACGCTTTGATTCGCAATAAACTCGCAATTGCGCATGCTCTCGGATCTCGTATATTCAGAATACGATATTTCTCGTTTAAACTGAAAAACGTACATTTTACGGTGATGTTTTCGAACGTAATTAATTCTATTAATATTGTCGAAACATAAAATGAAATAACCTTCGTACGATGCTCGTGTAAAATCGATCGAGTATGTTTTTAATGATCGAGTACAGATTTTACTACGTTTCATTCGAACGAGAGGGGGCAAAGAAAGCGAATCGCTTGTGCGCGACAAGCCAGTGTTAAACGTTGCATATCGCGGATTACAAATCTCGAAACGTGGTCGGACAAATTTCGTCGAGGGAAAAACCAATGAAGCTGACCGTATTCGATACAGGTATCTACAGAAATGCGTATCGAAGTCACTGTGAAGGAGCGATAAGAGATGATTCATAAATGCAACGTCTGCGATAACGAAATTTCATTAGCCACGAGAAAAACGTGCTTGTCATACAGAAAATTCTGTTAAGAAAACTCGAGTTGTGAAACACGCAAGATCATTGGCCATGGAAGTGAAACAGTTGGAAGTAAGCATGGTGTGGAAGTGAAAGTGAGAGTGTGCCGAATCATATCGTTTTATTGAAACTGCGTAATCATCGATCCGAGTTTACGGCGAACGAAGCAGGACACCATTTCATTCCTAATACCGGTAGGAAGCTGTTGAAGATAGACGTTTCAAGCGATAGACCGATGGGTTTTGAATATTTTTAACAAATATAAACATTTCGTGTGCGATCACGGATGAGGTGCTCACAGAATTATGGGCAAAATGTAACGCAAGAAATAATTGACGAAACGTCGGAGAGCCTGTAATTGACAACCGAATGTTATTCGAGAGGAAACATGTTATTGAAAACAAAGTATACGCGTGACCGGTAACATTTATGGATAGAGTATATTGAAGGAAAGATCAAAGGTAGACCTGTCGAAGTTTTGCAAAAGGTTCGGTTACACGTTGCTGGACGAAACATCGGTGAGAACGTAGCATAGAATCGGAACTCGATTCAGGTCGAATGTGCAGAATCGATCGTTGCATTTTCGACGCTCGCTTCCCCTTTTCACCGTGTACGGAAGGGCAACGATAGCAGTGAACGTTTCACTGGCTGTACGAACGAGAAAGAACAAAATGTTACAATCGGCAAAGTGGACTAGTCGTTGATTTTTTCGCACGAGAACACCGGCTTTTGATAGGAGAGTGCGTGTTTACGTGCGAGCGAACCAAAACATCAATGACCTTGAAAGAGGAGCAGTCACGTGACCAGGAGGTAGCTCAAGGATTGGACAGTCGAGGCGCATATAATGTGTATTGCGCCGTGCGCGCCCTGCGTCCCGCATTCCGTGTCCGATAGATGGTAGAGAGGTTTGTCTAAGAGGGGAAAGGGGCGAAAGACAGACTACGCGACGGCAACGACGACGACGGCGACGACGAGGACGACGAGAAAGACGAGAAAGACGAGAAAGACGAGAGAGAGTGCCGTTCGCCCGTACGTCCGTGTGTGTGCGCGCGCGTTGATCGCTTGTGTGTTGTCCCAAGATGAAGTCCGACTCTAAACCTTTGTTGACAGCTCAGGCGGAAAAGGCGAATCATTACACGTAAGTAAGCGGCCGCCGGGCCGGTCGCGTGCTACGTGAAAAAAGTGAGAGAATAGGAAAAAT